TCAATCTGGTTGTGTCTTGGAGCCAAGCGTGCTGCAAACGGGAGCAGTGTTCCCTAGACGCACAGCCGCGGCCGCTCCTGTCTCCGGGGACGTTTGCCCGGCCCAGATGCCACACTCAGCGCCAAGCCCAGGACTCATCTGGGGACAGTCTGCTGGGGCTGGACGCTTTATCCAGAAGTAGGTCAGGACTCCCCAGGGCGCACCTTGCAGTTTGCAGGGGTGGATCTGGTTTTGCATTCCGGTGCTCCTGATCTATTGATAGAACAGCATGCCAGAAACTGTTTCCTCCCTTATGATAAGAACCTGCCAAGGAAGCTTGATAACAGATTAGCAGGTAGCACTGACTGCCCTTCTCTGGTTTATAAAGAAGTCTCATTGGAAGTGCTGGTCCAAGTACCTCGCGATGCCCAGCACAGGGGGCGGATGAGCCAGACCACGTGAGGCCTATCACGCACAAAACAGCTTGTGCTGGCCCGTCTGGCACCTTATCAGAACTCTTGACCTAATGGTGTGGGCACTGCAAATGGAATCAGCCACTTTGCTTCCCCAAAGGTTTGTAAGGGAGAAAACAAATCATTAACTTTTGCAGAGAGGGCATAAAACATTAAAGTCAGTCCCTGGCTTAGGAGTGAGCTCCTTCCTGGGAGAATTACTCGTAAGTTGAATTTGTTCATAAACGGAAAAAGTGAGTCTTTGTACAGTACACTTGGGAAGGTTTGCAACTCGTATGCTCAGAAATTGGGGACTTACTGTACTCTCCAGAAAGAAAGGTACTTTATACTGGTCTCCTTAATGCTGCTGGGATGAGATAGTTGACACAAACAGTACAGGAGGCAGGGTTCGCTTTTGCTCCTAGTCTCAGGGGCGTAGTGCATGGTCAGCTGGCCCCGAGACAGAATCTTCATGGTGGAAGAGCACAGCCGATGACCTCACGGGGGCCAGGATGCAGGGAGAGCCAGGATGCACCTTTCAGAGATGCATCCTCAGGGATCTGCTTCCGCGGAAGCTCCCAGCTCAGCAGCCCACTGCAAAGGCCAGTGCCTTCATGACACGATCTCATTTGCGAGCCCCCCTCTGAACACATGAGTCGTTTGGGAACACATCGAGACCTGAATCGTAGCTGTCTCTTATGAAGCCCTATCTGAGCAGCTTGCCATTGTCTTTGCCTCCTCTGTGTCTATGCTGTATGAATGAGTTGACAATGTATTGAATGTAAAGGGCTGCAAGGAGCTGCACCTCCCAGGGATTCCCAAATTCCCTTCAGGGTGAAATCCAAAGTACAGAAGCCAGAGGCCACTTCCCGCATCTCTAACTTCAGGCTGTCTTCCTTCCTTTTAGAAGGGAGAAATCACCTCTCTTCTAGCAGCAAGCTGGGGAGGTGATAGAGAAATCCACACCAAGACCATAGCCACACTCAGAAACAGGAACAGAGTTCTTCTTCCCATGAAGGAGGTGATGTGTCCCTGGGAGAAGAACCAAGGAGGAACCTTAGCAGGAGGCCAGGCCCAGATCCCGCCACCCACATGGGGAGGGCTGGTGTGCTGGTGTTCTGGAGAGGACAGAGGCTGGGCTCCACCCGTGCCTTAAGGCGCTGCCTATCTGGGGAAAGGTGGTCCGGCCTGATTGGCCACATGAGACCTGGTCAGAAGCTATTGCCCAGAGAGTCTTCAAACTGCCTGAGACTGCACTGGGAGTCTCTCAAACCCAGGTCGCTGGGGCCAGGGCTTCCAGCCAAGTCCCCAGAGCAGAGGCCTTTGCCCATGGAGCCGAGCAGCAAGCTGCACAGAACACTGAGATCCCAGAAAGTCCCCGTGCAGAAGGAACATGCAAAATGACACCTCAGGTCTTCGGAGAATTATCCATTGGATAAAGGAGAGTAAAGCATCACATGAGAAGAGCAGATCTTGGAAAAGAGATAATGAGGAGCTTTAGAAATTCAAATCTAATCATTCCAAATCCAAAAGCTTAATAGCTAGATAAAGTAACAGTCTGACATGCCTAAGGAAACATCAAGAAATCAAACTGATGACATCATAGAAAGGTCCCCCGTAGGAAGGTGGAAAACGTGGGGCCGGGGAGATGGCTCAGTGGAAGGTGGAAAACGTGAAAGATAGGTGAGCACAGGGAGGTGGACCTCAGCCCAGCTGGACTTCTGGGGGAAGAGCAAAGAGGACAGGAGAGCTGCCACTGAGGTCATTCCTGGAAGGGCTTCTGACGTGGAACTGCGCCGTTCTGCCCCTGGAAGGACTCAAGATGATGGCCAGCACGTGGACGTGCCCCAGTGGCCCTGTGGGGTCACAAGCAGCAGCCAGATCTGCCTTTCCTCCTAGCGCTTTCCTGCTCCTGCCGTCACACCGCAGTTTCCTGAAGCACTGCCCCCCCTGAGCTTGATCCTTCTGAGCTGGATTGTTCTTTTGCCTCCTTTCTTTTGGCTGAAGGCTACATCCTTGAGGAAGTCTCCCCAGAATCGCTCCCAACATCCGGTTCCCTGACCCCTTCAGTGTTAGGGCGGGCTCTGCTCCTCTCAGTGCCCGCCATCATGGTCGCAGTGCATGTGGCTTGGGCCCCCACTGCTCTGTGACCTTCTTGCAGCTGAGGGTGGACTCTGCCGCTTTGGCTCTTTGGGGCTTAGCGTGGCTGCTGGAACGTGGCGGTCAGTCACGGCCACAGCCACCTCCAAGGATCTGGGGGCATTTCACTCCGTAAGTCAGTGGTCGAGTGAGCTAGCTGGGTGCGTGAGTGAGTCTTCAGCATCCTGGCAGGCCAGCCACGAGCTTCTCCAGTTATGTCTTGGCAGAGCCGAGCATCTGGCTCCGCTAACTCAGAACAGCACATCCCACTACGCTTCCACCACAAACTGTCCTGTATAAAAATCCGCACATGGTCCACACATCTTTAAAGAACAAAAATAGTAGTAGTTTTGCAAAATAATAAGACACTTATGAAAAGAAACTTTTTAGAACGTGAAAACCTTGCTTCCTGCCTTCCGTCCCCATGGCTTGCTTTCACATCGCTTGTACGTTTTGTCCTTAAGTGATACACAGACGCCTCAGACCATGAGCCAGAGCCATCCTTGCACAGGGAAGTGCAATTAGGTGAATCTAAGTCTTCATAGGACTGTGGTTGTAGCCTTGTTCTTACTAGCACATGTTACAGGGCAGGCAGGTCACATCCACTATGGGGAGCTGGCATGTGTAAAGCACGCAAACGCTTTGCGTAACCCTCTTCTTGCCCCTCTGTTTCCTGATCACCTTTCCTCTTGCAAAAGGTCCACTTCTCTGTTTTCTGTTATCCACCTTTTGTTTCGCTCCTTACTTTAATTTATTCTTTGGGCTTCTCTGAGACAAACCAGGTGATATTTAAGCTTGTTTCTGACCATATACGCAGAAGTGCCTCAGGAAGATTTATAGCTATTAGTAGCTGGGTTACAGTGTAGCAGTCTTAGGTGGATGTTCAGTTGTCCTTAAATTCTCATTTTTTGTCTGTTTTTCATGAGAAAACCATCATCTTAGGAACTCTGTGTCTTTCCCAGGGCTGCCTCTGAGGCAGGTAGAACCGTCTAGAAGAACCAGCTGTGTTTCCACCCTGGGGTAGCTGCGCGCACATCAGAGTCTTGTAGCAGCCCCCTGAGTAATACCTTTCTGTAGTTCTCGAAGGCCTTTCACACAAAGAAAGCCATTTCATTTGATATCCAGGAGATCAGTCAATGCACGGGGGCACTTGGCTTTGCTGGTAACTTCAATACTCTAATAGCCAAAGAGGCCAGAAAAGAGGGAACGTGGCCCAGTGAAATCTATGAATGACAGCCCAGAAGACACTCTGGAGAGCATATCCAGAGATTGTTGCTTCTGGTCTCATTATACAATTCCACACTCCTTGCTATTTTTCCAACCTGCTAGAGAGTTTGAAAGAGAAAATTAAGAGGCCAAGGGCATTGCAGAGGGCAGGAACCATGGCAACCCAGTACAGGTCCTGCAGGCAGAAACCGGAAAGAGGCGCAGACACAACAGGCAGCGATCAAAGCATGAGCACAGGCTGGCCGGGAGCCAGCTAACAGAGGCTGTGCACAGACCACGCAGCTAGCCTGAGGGTGACCCCACGGCCACGCGGCACAAACCACGAATGCGAGGAGCACAGCACAAGGACAAGAGTCGTCAGGTATAGTGCAGAGAGGTTGGCACCCTCCGGCTGGGAGCTCCAGGTAGATGGCATGCAGCAGAGGCGGGCGAGGGAAGCAAGCTGTTTGTTACTGAAACAGAGGAGGTGCCGCTCTGGTAGGTTGCTTTGTGTGCCCTTAGCTGAGGGCCTCCTAATAATAGGGCAAATAAATGGATTTCTGTGACTTCCCAGGAGAGCTAACATCCAGGAAGCTTTGATTGAATAATGGCTGCCAGATTCCAAAAGCCCCACCCACTGGTCATGGACAAGTGTCCTCTCTCGGGCTAGGTTAGTTCAGTGCCTTGGTGGGCTCACCCCGGGTGCTTCCGCCTAAGCATGGATGGGTAGGCTGGCCAGTTTGCACATTCAGTTTTCATTCAGGTGTCAGTCTGTCTGAATAAGCACTAACCCAGAGCCCAGTGACATCCAGGGACGAGTGATGCTACGGAGCATAAATACCTATGGGGCAGTTCATGCGCCTTTGAATTCCTAGCAGCCAGCACTGTCTGTGGTCAGTAGCCCTGGACACTATGTGTTGACCATCCATGCTGATTGCTCAGCCTCTTCTGGCCTTTCATCCCCACCGTAGTTGTGCATCTGCCTTGAAATATTTACTTCTGCATATAAGGAACAGAATCACACCCTGCGCGTGCCTGTGAGGGCCCAGACATGCTATTTGACTCAAGTAAGGTCTCCTTACCACTGCTGTTGATCGTTTAATGGAAAAGAGGAAGCAAGACTGGCTGTCGCTCACCACTCATTTACAGAAATTGTATTTTGCATGTATGTTACTTAACCAATTTGAAAAAAACCTCACACTCCCTTTCTCATTTTTCTCCTAGCGGAAGATAATAGTCTGTCTCAAAAGAAGAAGGTCACCGTGGAAGATCTCTTCAGTAAAGATTTCAAAATCCATGACCCAGAGGTGAAGTGGATAAGCGGTGAGTGCAGGGCCCTTGGGGCCCAAGGAGCTCACTCCCTGGGCCCGCGCCGCTCTGTCCCTGCGCTGGCTGTGGGCGCTCTGTAGAGGGCAGAGCTTTGCACAGACAGAGCCGCCGTACTCCAATGCCAGGACCACGCAGACCCGGTTAGCTGGGCTTCCCGTTCCATGGTGCCGCCTGGCAGACTTCAGCCTGCATGGGCTTCCTGAGGGACAGGTCTGACAGGATGCATCCTCCTGGGGCTCACGGGAAGGTGTGGCTGGTTGCTAAGCAACAGCCTCAGAGTGGCCCCTACAAAGAATTCTGGGAGACACAGGAGCCTGCTCTGCAGATGCTCCTGAGTTTACTGTTCCTCTTCAACTTCAATCTGGATCAAACCTAGATTTTTAGGAAGGATATTTTTTAAAACAACAAAAATAGAATTGGGGCAGAAAGTCATGTGCTCCTATGTCCGGGGACCAGAGTGGTCTCCCTCTTCCCTGCAGTGTCCGAAGCTGTGGCAGCAGTTCTGTCCTCCCAAGCTGTGTCTTCCCTTCTGTCACCCCTCCTGTGTGCTGTTTCCTCCACCAACCCCCCACTTGGCTTTCAGCCTAGGCTTCATGGAATACATTTGAAAATAATCCTGGGGTCAGCTGGAGGCCCAGCTCGAATCCTCGCCTTCATGAGAAGTGAGGCCCATAGAGGTCACAGTGTGCTCTGCAGCCACGGAGCCAGTCCACGGCGTGGTTTGGGTAGAGGCCCACCCTGGCTTCCAGTTCCTCGCCTTCCATTAGCCCAGTTTTCGGATCGTTCTTTTAGCGGCCACGCTGCCGCGGCGAGGCTTTTCCGCACCTCCCAAACTCTCAGAGGCGATTAGCAGCGTTTCTGCTCCAGCTGCGGGCAGCAGCAGCAGCACTTCCTTTCTCCGCTCTCGCTTCTGCAGCCGTACCTGAGGGAAGGGATGTATAAACACGGGAGATCCGCGGAGAGGGCGCTGTGGGTGCAGCAGAGAGACACAGAGACCGGGTCGCACCCTGAGCTCGGCAGCTCTGCTGACTGAAGCGCGGACTTGGCCTGTCGCGCTGCAGCTCCCTCGGTGCCAGCTGGAAGTCTGTGCCGGCGGCGCGCTGCGCAGGAGGTCTGGGCCGGACCCCGGGAGGGTGTCATGGCTCCTTTCCTCGGTGAGCGGGGCCGCATCCCAGAGACAACGTGGTGAGCAACCTCACGAGAGGCAGGGGGAACTGATTTCAGGGCGGGAGTGCACACTGCGTCTTCTCGGGGTGACGGGGACTTGTTAGGGAAGTGCAGAGCAGGCCCCTGGAAAACTCCGCGTCTAAAAGGCTGGCCTGTGCCAACCGCAGCTGGGAGAACCCAGGATGAGTGGGAGCCGAGGCCCAGTAATGGCAACACAAAAGCTGGCGGGAAGGCAGGTTCTGAGCCTCAGTCAAGAGGCCCGAGTGAAGGGATGGCAGCCCCAAGCTTCGGGGTTCAGAGGAGGCGGGAGGATGGCCCAGGACCATTCTAGGGTGCCACAGCCTCAGACAGGGCCAAATCGTCTTCACCAGTGCAAAATAAGTGAAGCCGAGCCCTGAGCTCCGGTGTCCCGGGTCACAGAAGCTTCTGCAGGCATCTGGGCCAATGAACAGAATAAGGACTCTGTGTGTCACCAGCAAGCCAGGGTGCTGGCTGTGACATGAGCCAGCACTCTCTGGCCACAGCAAGATTGCTTCACATCCCCAAAGTCGGGACCTAACACAGGCCATCGGGGCGGCGCTGTGTGCCTGCAGACACTGCACGGCCTGTCTGATCGGGTTCCCGGGCACCCACTCATGGAGCACACCTGCAGTGCTCTGGTCCGGCCAGCTGGGGAGTGTCCAGACTTACAGAGGAGCCCCCCCTTTGTAATGTGCCTGGTGGCCAGGTCTCCCCAAAGAGCAGGCTCCCTGCACTGCTCCTAGCACCCCTCCTGCTTCTCCTTCATTTACTCCTCCTCCTAATCCTTCCTTTCCTTCCGTCCCCTAGAAGTGTGTCAGCTTAAAGCTGACCCAAGGTTAGTAATGGTTTCTGGTTACTCTTACGAGTACCATGGAGAATCCTTGCACTTTCTTCTCCTGCAAGTCTAAGTGTGAGGATCTGGGAAAGATTACTATAAATTCACAGGGTTATCTCATGTGGCAGAGCTGGGGTGAGCCTCAGACATTGTTAGAACATTCATTCACGCAACAAGACTTGTCAAAGACCTCCAGTGTAGCAGGCAGGCACATTGCTGGGCCAAGAGAGGGCAAAAAATTCACCCCTGAGCAAGTTAGTGTAGACATGGGAATCAGCACGCAGTAAGTACCACTACCGCCGTCACCAGATTCTCCTCTCCCTGATTTTCATCCTCCTCCTCTTCCTCTTCCTCCCCGGCCTCCTCATGTGGTTCTGTGTTAACCTCGAGGCTAAGTGTTTTATGCCTGTTAGTTTTATTCTCAGAACTCCTATTATTCCCATTTGGAAGATGAGGAAACTTATCCTCAGCATCTTTAAGTAATTTAATCAATATCATATACATTTGATGTGTTGTAAAATTTAGTACTAATGCTTTTCATCTTGGGTGTCATCATTGTTGTTGTCATCGATGTCATTAGTAACGAAGTTTAAACTTGAACCCAGCTCTATCTGGGTTTGATAGACCACGCCGCGCTGGAGAAGGTCCCGATCTTCTGTCCCTGGCCGGTTCCTTGTGCAGCCTCAGTGGCTGCGTCCCATGCTTGCCCGAGAGCACGGGCTGTGAGTGTCTCTGAGTCATTGCAGCCCTTTCAACGCAGTCCCAGTAGCCTCTTTCCATAGTGCCTGCACCAAAGCAACGGTATACCCAAGTGATAAAGAAAAATGCCGTGATTCTCTATAGAGGAAAAACTGGGATATTTTTAGTACCCATTAACCACTAAAGTTAACAAATGTGTCTTGGGTTTAATATTGGAGTTAATAGTCTAGAGCTAATGTGCTTTATTTGTCAGGAGGAAATGTGGTGGGTTGGAGTTTTAGTAGACTTCTTCTCAATCCACCTTTTCTGAACGTGATTGGTACGATGGCCTTTTAGGGCTGCAGCAGGGGCACAGGCAGCGATAGCCCTGCGGCACCCCAGCACTCCCCGTGC